GGAGGAGCTCTGAGAACACGCTGTTGTCACCTGCTTTAATCCACGTTTCCCTCAACAGCATCAAATCCAGGAAGTGAATTTGGAAAGAGACATTAGGGATAAAGTTGTATTTGTGACTGATCTAGAGCTTAGTAGCGAAATCCGAATTGAACACTGGCTATTCTGCTGGGAAGCACCACCAACTGAGCTGAGATTCTTCAACAAGCAGTCCCATGTCTGCACCGAGCAATGAGCCACCAGTCAGACCAGTAGGGGGAAACCAGTGGTAACAATGTTCAGGGTGATGGCTAATGCTCCATGCAGGTTGCATATACGGCTTCATGAAAGCAACATATTTAAAATAAGAACACGCAAAGCATATTAATGGACATAAGCAATACAAAGGGAGCGTGTGGCAGTTTAAAATGAAATAAACATGGTGGGTTAGTGTCCATCGTGGCCTGTCTTTCCCATTCAGATGAACTCTAATTCATTTAGAATCTGACAGTAAAAAATTTATTTATTTAAAATATGTAAACATAAAGATTTTACCCAGTAAAAGGTTAGCCAATCACAAGTTTGAACTGTTCAGTAGATTTTAATGTTAAAATCAAACATTTAGATATCCTAACTGTTGATGCACATCACAATACATTTAAATAAATTGAACAAATACATATAAATGCTTTACACAGAAATCCATGCATGAAACTTACAGTTCCAGTGCCTGGCTGTCACACATGAGCTTTCAGCCCCAGTGACACCCAGCAGCACCATTAGATATCAGCTTTCATCTTCAAAATGTAACGCCCCTCTATGTCAAGAGATGGTCTGTCTTCAAAATACTTATACAGCTTTTTATTATGTTTTTACTTCTTCTGCATGTTGGGAATTAGTAGGAGCCCATGTGAAAGTGTAGATGAAAAACAGGCCATGTTTTCATCTCTAACGCTTTGTTTCATCATCTGTCCATCACGCCTGTGATGAAAGGCTGCTCGTTACGCCTGCGGTGAACGTCTGACGCAGTTGGATCTAAATTCAACATCAGGCCTTCTCACTGAGATGGACAGCCAGAGGTTATTAAAAGGAGTTTCAGGTTGGAGCACCACAACACACACACATGGGCGCGCACACAGCACTGGCTGTAATCTATGATTCATGTGCGCTCATTTAAAATAGAGTGAAATATTTAAAGTTAGCTGGTTGGCCCTCTGAGGGTCCAATGACTAACCTCTCCTCTCTCCACTTATTAATGCATGGAGGATGAGATGGAAGAAACGGGAGGCGTTTTAAGCAAAAAGGATATGAAGACAGCCGAGACAGGAGAAGTACTAACTAGACGCAAGATGGAAGAAACAGACACATATAGATTTCGTCGCTTTTTGGTTAGCTCAGTTTATGTTTCACTTTAGCCATTTTGTGTTTAGAATGAAGGTAAGTTTTGTGCAACAAGGTCATAGAGAATACTGTCCTTCAGCTCCTTACATTTAGTAACTTTTTAAAAAGCTAGTCAAAGTTCTATCACAATGCTAACCCACAAGGTTTATCAAAATCTAAATGTTTGATGACTGACTTATCTTATACTGTATATCTTGTCTTTACAGAAGCCTAGGATAAGGCTGTGCTTTTGTTTGTTCAGGTTGAACCCGATCAGGATTTTTACATCCTCCTCAGCAGGAGGTCTGAGGAGATTCCACGTTAGATGGAGATGTGGAAAGTTAATGGTAGATGGAAACAGCTGCTTTCCAAACCTGCAGTAGAACCTGTTATGGTCATCTACCAAATTAGATTCTGTTCAGGGATTAAAGGGGTGGGAGTGCCCCCTTTACTTAGCGATGTCTTTCAGACCATTCCAAACGCTTTAAGCTTCTCGCTGTAGCTTCTCGGTCAGTTCTTGGGGACTGCACTGGAACTGCGTAACATCCTCAGATATGAAGTTGCCCATACTTTAATGTTGCTGTGAACACAAAAGGTCTTTGTCACGTTCTCACAAAATTAGTTGTAAGAAGTGACAGGTTCCACAAAGCTCATTCAGGTCAGTAGCTGAAGCTTCAAAACACTCAGCATAGACCTGTAGCTCTTGCTTTGACTGTTCCATTCACTCCCTTATGATCTGAACCACAGGGATATTTAAATTTCTGCCAATAGGTTGGGATGAGATGAAGGCAGTGATGATCAGAAAGTCACAAAACGACCCTGCAGACAGACAGATATGCATCTTTGAAAGCTGCTTTAGTGTGTTTTTATTCCTGTTGGGACACGTGACGCTGTCTGTGGTATGGGAGTTCATTGGAGAGGGTTGCACTATTTAAATTCTAAAGAACATTGATGAGAGATTCTAGGTATTTTTTCTCTATGTCCGTTATCAGTTCAGTAAACTATTTTCCAGCATCTGATGTGGTGGTATGCAAACCTTGACCAGAACAAACTCCATCTGTGAATTAAAAGATTTACAGGCTGTAAAAGTCACATCAGGTGAGCACTGCATGTCCTTTATGACATCTACATAGCATGTAAAAACTAATTCTCCTCCTCGAGGAAGCAGTTTGTCCATTTTTAATCTCAGGTACATTACATAGAGAGCCCCCAACCAAGAGCCAACCAGATCTCAGAGAAACTGGGGTTGTTGGAAAATTGAGAATGCCTTTCGTGAAGTGACCACAGAATGGCACACATAAGCACAAAAAACCACACAAAATACAAGAGAGCAAGGCACCAAGGAACCCGTCCACAGCACCAACTCTTCACTAGAGGCTGGAAGGAGGACTGACAGGAGAACAGAGGGACTGTAGGATCTCACTGGCTTTCAGCGAGATTATTAAACAGTTCTGAACCCTTAAGATAAGATTTATAAGATTCTAATAGTCCCAAGTTTTCTAACCCCCAATTTACTCTGCCTATGTCTCTGCTCTGGAATAGATCAGGCTTCACACTAAATACACACCTATTACAGTCAACCAGAGCAAACGGCGGCGGTGCGGCGAAGCACCTCTGGATTGCCATCCGTCAAAATGAACAACACTTCTAGTTTTGGAATAGAAGTATTACTGGCTGTTGGCTGTGAAATACATATAAGAGAATTTGAGGTGCTGTTTGAAGAGGTAAGGTTGTAAATGTGAACCCAGTGTAAAACAGCGCCCCCACTTTACCTTATAGACAAAGTTCCACTTGCCTTCCTGATCACAAACATCAATCAGAAGACATGAAGGAGAAAGAAGACAAAACAAACCTGCGTCTCAGTGAGTGGAAGTGTTAATAGTCTGGTGGGGAGTGAGATGGCTAAATGAAGAAATGATGCAATCTGGTAACCAATTTAATAGAACCTTTTATTATGAATATGGCACCTGCAAGATGGTCAAAACTGGGTTACAGAAAGACAACCATGTATGTGACGTTCTTCTGAACAGATGAGAACCTAGTAAACTTAAAAAGGAACAAAGCTATAAAAAATGAAATATGTACATTTTTTGATTTGCAGCGTTATTTATGATAAATGAAAATGTAATTTCAAAGTAAGATAAAAATAAGCCAGGCACTCACAGTTAGCATCAGTTTGTCATGAGGTTTTGAGTCCTTTACAAGGGAAATAAAGATATACACAAAAAATAGAAACTGTAGTAGCATAGTTTTCTCTTTTTTAATATTTTAATTTGTTTGTATTTAGAATTTTATAACACTGTTAACACTGATAATAAGAGATTCCCGCTTTCCCGTATTTCAGCTACTTGGCACCAGGTTCCTCATAAAAGAATCTGTTTAATTGTACAAGAAATAGTTAAAAACACAGACACAGTTTCTTCACAGGTGAATGAGATGACTTTTCAATATTTGAAAATTTTAAACACTATGTATTTGACAGCAGCTGTGATTAAGGTTTTTTAGGGTTTAAAATCACCAGCAAAGTTTTCATTTTTCGACAAAAAACACAGAAAAACATTGAAACAGCTTCAAGCAGCTGTTTAGTTTTAGTTACATTTGGGTGTATTTCCTGGTTTCATTTGTGATATGCCTCCCATTGCTAAAGTATTTTCTATATGCTTGTACTATTCCATTGCCTTTAAATCCATACATAGAAAATGTTAAAATTCAGAGCGTGGAAAGAAATCGCTCCTGAAAAGACCAATCTTAACACTGATAAACACAAGACGTGACAATTTGTTTTGTCCAGATGTGATGGCTGGATCAGAGACTCGGTCTGCTGAACTTCAGCAAACCTTTATCTTTCAAAAGGCCTCCATTTTATCCACATAATGGATATTCCAGACATAAAAAAACAATCAGACATGAAGTAAAATTACAGCTATTAGACTAAAATAATAATAAAAATCAAAAATGGGATTGTTCACAGTAAATGGACAAAATTACTAAACATGCAGTTCAGTTTTCCAAAACACCTAGAAAAATAGATTTATAGTGAGAAAAAATTTCCTGCTTTTAATATTTATAGAAATTGTTAAAATTGTTTTTTTTTTAATTTTTTTTTTTTATTTTTATTATTGTGTCTTGAAAGACAATTGTGAATGTTTTCACATTCCTCGAAACCCTTATCTAAGTCAGTTTGATCCCCAAAGACAAATTTGACTGGGAGTTCAAGACGTTTTGGTGCGGACCATTGAAATACACCCAATGCACAGAAAACACCTCCAGGAAGACTGGGAAAATGTTTCACAGTCCAGGCTGCGGTAGTTTTTAACCTTCACCTCAGAGTATATTTAAAATCCTTCCTCAGATTTTTCCTCATCAAACTTTATATTAAATTATGTAAATTATATTATTCCTACACAATTTAAATAGCATAAATATTTCTTATTATGTTCTTTTGGGTGCATGAGCAGGAAACCTGTCCCAGAATTCCTTAGAGGCAAATACATGGCTCCATAAACCTTTGAGCTAGTTAAATATTCTTTTCATCTCTGAGAGAAAAGACAACAAGATAAAGAGGTTTGAATAAGACTACACAACAGCAAAAAGCAACAGTCGAGTGAAAGAGAGAAGGGTTAGAAAATAAAAATGCAATTTTACAAAGACAAAAAGGAAGCAGCAAAAAGTAAATGGTGGACTCTACCAATTTTTACTGGTGTGGTTTTTTTTTTTCTTTTTTGCAAAGGCCACCAAACACGAAATTCCACAACCTCCACTGGTTTCACTAAGACGGCAGATAGAGGGAAACGGAGGAGAAGGAGGAGGAAGCAGAGACGCAGAGTTTAGATTAGAATTCATCCAGCTGACAGTTTTTTCCCTCTGACGCCACTTCCTCTCCTTCGCCACACTAGAGATAGAGCACAGAGAAGACAAAGGACAAAAACAGCTACAGTAGCTCAGTATATACTGCATATAGTCAACACACACACAGAGAAGTTGCCATGAAAGACGTTTTGACAGCCAGTGACACTAAACACATCGGTAACACGTTTTTACGGCTTAATCACACGGGGTAATAAGATGACGGGATGGTAAAGACAGGGCTGTCAACTTTCAAAAGATTGACACTGTGATAGCTTATTACAGTTTGATTTATTACTTAGTATGTTTTTTTTTCTCTTTTTACCAAAAAAGTAGAGGAAAATTACAAATGAGCAAGGATCACAGTGCTTTTAAAACACCAAATGTGTGAACTTAGCATTTCTTTTTTTTTTTTTGGCAAAAGAGGCTGGGGGAAGGAGGACACAACCAGAGCAAAAACAAAGCTTTTTTTTTTTTTAAAGAAGAGGGATTTTCTCTTTTTTTGTTCATCTAAATAAAGGAAATCCCACTTTACTCCTGTTGTACATTGATTGTTTGACAGATTGATTGAAAATGCATGTCTTTATTACAATCTCCTTGTTGATATGTAGTTTTTAATCACAGGTTCTGGTGATGGGATGGAAGAGAGTGGATTGTTGAGGAAAATGTTGTGGAGGTGATTCTGGTTCAGGAAGAAAAGGAGAACAGCAAAAACAAACAAAATAACAGGAAAACAAGATCCTGTCAAGGTTGTCAACATTCATTTTTTAAGTTAGCAATGTTAAGTATTTAGCCTCAGTCTAACTGAGAGTTAAAAGTGACTCGCTTATCAAATATACAGGAATAAAAAGAACAGAAGAGAGCCTAAACATCTAGTGATCAGCTCCACATTGCTGTGTGTATTCTGAGATTCCTGAAGGTTAGTAATAAAAAGAACAATAATCAAACAGGGGGAAGGACAGGAGGGCCGAATTTACAGTACCCACATCAGCCAGCTGATTCTGGGTAACTGGACGTTTGTTAGCACCACAAATCTGTAGAATTACCAGAAAAAATGTGGACAGAAAGTTAAAGGTCAGATAAGCAGAGTGAAGGTACGAAAGCTCGACAGACTGAGATGAGAGTAGATGTAGTGGAGGTTATGTTTGGTATGAGACCTGTAGGTAAACTCCTCAGATAAATGAGGAAACTTGTAGTAACATTCGATAGTTCACAGGTCGTTACCCGGCTGAAATTGCTTTTTTTTCTTTTTCTGTATAATGTTTGATTCCAAAGTTACATCTGAGCTAGAATATTTCATAAAAAGGAAGAAATAGAAGAGGAAAAAGCATCGATTACTGTCCCCTCAACCAAGAAACATTCGCAAAAACCTTTTGTGAAAAGATTATCTCTGAGACAGCTGCCCTCTCCTCTCAGGTTAAAAACTCTTTTTCTTTAGCCTTGATCACATCAAGATACATAAGAAGGAGAGGCACAGCATTTTCAGTGTGTCACAAATACCTGCACCAACCTCCTGAAAGTATGCACAATCAACATCTTCATAAAGATGCAACCAAAACAAGTGATATCATAAAATGATCCCCTTCAGGCTCCAGTGGAATCCTTAGGCAACATGAATTCTCTGTAGGCAAAAAGGAATTCTTTACAGTAAAGAATCGTTGCTTTTTTTTTGTTCATCTGTTGTAAGAAAAAAAAGTTGTTGATTACAATAAATGGAAGCAAAGAGAGATTGGTGATAGAGAAAATCAATAGAAAAGGGTTGTGTGTGTGTGTGTGTGAGGGCCACCCATGTCTTTCACAACCTCAATTGCTCAAAGTGCAAGAGTACGTTTGACAGTTCCTGTCTTTTGTTCCATCTTGGAAACACAGTGCTGCTCCACGTTGATAAATTCTTTCTTACTATTTTTTACTACTGAGTAGTCTTTGAGTTAGAAACAGTTGTTGATTTTTTAAACACAGTAATGCGGTCTTGGATGTATTTCATTAATCCTCCTTTCTTTCCAGAGTTGTCTGCGTAGTGTGGATCCCGTTGCTGTACACGGGGAACGGTAGCGTTGAGAAAAGTCCCTCCGCTGTGGTGAAAACGTTAGCTGTCGCTGACATCTGGCCACCCAGGCTGCCATTCCCAACTGTGGGTGCTGGGGATCCAACAAAAGGGCCTGCAGCTGCTGCAGCAGACATGTTTAGCCTGTGGACATGATGATAGAGCATCTCCATAGGCGTCTTAGGGTCCAGACCAAACCCTGAGCTCTCCACAAAGTTCATGGCAGCATTGGGAAGGAGGTTCCCTTGTGCCATGGCCAAAGTGACGTCTGCTGGCGCGTACCTTATGGTCCCAGTGGTGTAGACACGAGGTGTTGTGGTGCTGGTAGAAGACAGAGTTCCCGTGACACGGTGAACCAGCGGAAGGACCACATTACCAGCCTGCAAGCGCTGAAGTGCTTCAAGATCCCCAGAATACAGCAGTGAAGAAGAGCTTGAAGTTGAAGAGGAGGATGAGGAAGAGTTTGAGGATGTTGTAGGAGTACCTTGTTGTTTGTCCCGGGGGGATGCAGAGAGTGGAGGGGAAAGGGGGTCAGTGGAGGAAGTGTTGGAAGGAGGAGCTAAACTCGTAGCAGTGGAAGAAGAGGAGGAGGCGGCGTTTCCGTTGTATGGAGGCTTTCTCACCCCACCTGCTGCCCCTTCGGGTCCAGGAGGGGTGAGGACTGAGTCAGGGATGGCTACCTGTAGAGAGCCACCCTGTGGGGAAGGGAATGTCTCCTGACTCCCTGCAGCAGGAGGCTTGGAGGTCATGCTATATGGAGACTCATTTCTGGAAATCTCTCTGTTGGGTGGGTAGTTCCAGATGCTGCTGTCATTGTCAAAGTTTATAGGCTCTGCCATCTCTGTCTTGATTTTAAGAACAGAGGATGTGGTTCCTGTGCTGTTTGGGGAGTTGGACGAAGTTAGAAGCGGTGTGGGAGTGATGGAGGTGGCCCCTGAGGGATTGGCCTGTGGTGTAGAGTCGCCTATTGCTGCTGGGCTGGGGGGAGTTGTGGACAGACAAAGCCTCCTGCTTCGTGTTCCATCCCATTTTTGCACTTTTCTCCTTTTCCGCCTTTTCTGGAGCTTGCTGCCAGCACTGGCATCATCACATTTTTGTACTCCTACATCAGCGACCTCATCAATGTCCTCATCTTCCTCTTCTTCGTCGTCCTCTGATGAAGACATTTGTGAGTTGTGGAGTTCTTCTTCTCCTTCTCCATAGTGCTCTACCTTAATATGGAGCCCTCCCAAACTACCCAGTCCACTGATGGTGTTGAGTCCCTCCAGCGCTCCCAGTCCAGCTAATCTTCCCAATCTGCCTTCCAGTCCTCCCCCCTCTCCTCGGACCACCTCCTGCTCCTGTTCCTGCTCCCCATCTGAGGGCTCCAGGCTGTCATCACTGTCCTGACTTTCAGGGTTACTTGAACTGTCTCCGTCATCATGGTTCTTCATTTCCTCGGATGAGCAATGTGATTGGCCTGGTTGCTGCTGACGTTTGCTGTCTGTTTCTGGATCCTCTCTGTGTTCTGCTTGGTGGCCTGGCTTTCCCTCAGACTTGGTATTTTCATTGTCTGTTAAAAAAATATAGGATGGTTGAAATAAAAATATTAGACAAGTTATTGTGACGTTATTAATTTCATCAGCCTTTCTTTGTTACGCCAGGCCACATCGTCCGACTGCTTGATGCACGTGAGGGTGCAGATCAAGCTAAACCTCTTGCTCAGCTTGCATGAGCTCATCACAAATTTTCAAATTCGCCAAAGTTGACAAGAACTGGACAAAATCACGTGTTATTATTGCTCACATGTCAGATGGGCTCGCATGGTGAGTCTCAGTTACTAAGAACTGTTTTTTACAACTTTGCCGGCGTATAAAGCTATCGTTATTCATATTTAATTAAAATGACTAGATTAAATTAATTAAATATAATAGATAAATACAGTTGACAGGAATGTGTGTATAATTTCTATATTTAATCGACAAGAAGAGGATTTTTGTTTCTGCCAAAGCAACTCCATTCTATTTGTCTTTTATTGTGCTTCTAAATTACAAATTGTCCTAAAATGTTATTAATGCACACAACACTTGGTAGTAAAGAACAACTTCATTTTTTCATTTTTATGTGTTTGACATCATTGGAAAGCTTTGAATCCACTTTCAAAATCTGAACCCGGTAGACTTGTTCATGCTTTTGTCCTGGCCATTCAGATCTAAACTCTTCTCATTAAGATGAACAAAGAAAAAACAATAATCACGTTAGAAGACTAATACTTTCATTTCAGATCATATATATTACAATGTTATGTTTTTGTGGGGGCAATTTGAAGTTAGGTGGTCTGTGAGTGTTTGTTAAATAGGTGAAGTGGTCTTCAGCCGGAAAACTTTTGAGAAACACTGGATTGGATAAAAACTTTTGAACTAATTTGGGTAATGAACTGAGCTTAAAGCACGGTTTGATAACTAGGATGAACTGTAATGTGTGTATGTGTGTGATTGGCAGGTGAGTATTTGTGTTTTGTTGTGAAAGTTCTGTTACCTCAGCCTTGGCCAGGATTCTCTTGTAAAATAGATTTTCAATCTCAATGGGATTTTACCGTTGACATAAAGGTCAATAATAATAATAATAATAATAATAATAATAATAATAATAATAATAATAATAATAATAATAATAATAATAATAATAATAAGTCAATTGGCCTTTTTTGTAAAGTGTCTTGAAATGATTTGTTCTGAATTGAATTGAATTATTTTCTGTATTTGCTATGTTCACCATCTGTTTTTGTTTAGTCATGTTGGCTTTGTCCAGCCAATTACACACAAACAATACACATATTATACCAGCACAAACAAAGGACTGCCCAGTTGGCTCTGTTTGGAGCCCCTAATGAATCAGTTTGGATGAAAGCAAAACAGATTAAGTGGAAAAACATATCTGTATAATTCATTTACCATTTCCTTAATCAATGTATCTATTTATTGAACATCCAGAGATTTTGTTTGCTTTACTGACAACTCGTCTGGAATGCAACATGACTGACATGCTGCCTATAAGCTCAGGTGTGGACTAAAGGCAGCTGCCTTAACAGAGAGGCGGTGGAGTCACAGAGATGCACAGCGGTGGTAAATCTTTAGATCTATTGTTTCAGTCTGACTTCCAAGGTATTGCAACATTTTTGTAAGCATTTGCAAACACAGGAGATAAAAGCTAAATGCATGACGGAAACTAAAAGAGAGGATTTCAAACTAAAGCAGGAGGATGTTCTTTGTGTGGCTTCAATTAGTCTTTGGTGTCGGTTTTTCTGTAACAGCTGTAAACAAAACAGACGCATCTTCTCATGTTAGTTGCCATCTAACTGCAGAAAGGTCAAAGGGCATCTGTTTCATTTTTGAACATGTTGAATCAGAGCACCTTGGGCCTGTTGGACATTTGCTGAAGCTGGCTCCCTCCTGCTGCAGCTGGCATCAGTTTACAGCCAGCAGCCTGCCAGAATCCCTATCCTCTAGCAAAAATACCAGCTGGCCCTGAGCTCCACTGTGCCAACACAGGCTTTAGGATTTGATAGTATTATGCTCAAAGTGGAGGGGCTGTCTTGGTTTAAATTCATTTACAATGTGTAAGCTCTAAGTCACTTAGTGCTGGCTGCAATGAAGATATGATGCAATAATAATGTTTAAGATGTGTTTTTTAAGTTGTGAACAACATCATAGGAAGGTAATGGTGTTAGCAGGCTGCCTGTATGTTTCTGCTCAAGTAATTTGAATAACTTTAAAGATGCTTCAATTACTACTGATTCTAAGGCTTTCATGAAAAATGTTTTACTCTGTCGGCTTTTCTGGTGTGTGTAGACTTCCAACTCAATAAAGGTAGTGTTAGCTAGAATTGACTAATTATTATGGGCTCCATGTCAGGAGCTTCTGCTCCTGGTTTGGTCTCCCATTACAAACTGGGTCCAATAGGACAGGTCAGTCTCAGAGCAACTGAAAGGTTCTGAAGTAACTGACTGCACAAAGAGCTCACTCACTGTGCTTATTTACTGAACAGCTGTTCAAATGACCTGGAAGTGGCACCATTTTGGGATCGCAGGGTGACCTGGGAGACCTGATGCTGAAAAGACAAAGTGGTGTCATGTGGAAGACATGTTTGAGAGGACTGGTGTTTGGGAATGGGATGGGCTGTGTCAGTGTGGTTCAATGTGATATTTTACGATCCACCATATTCAGCAGAGCATTTCCACCAACAGTTGGACTTTCACTAGGCAAGTGAGGAAAAACCTAGGAGCCTAAAGTAGCACTAGGCAAGGGCAAACACTGGTATGTCTTGTGCTTGAAGCAAGCAGTGACAATCAATGGCTCATGTTGTGTGTAGTTCCATTCTGACCGTTCCACAGCGATCCTAAGACGTGGTACGGGTCGGTCCAATTAAAACATACCAAACCAACTTCTGACGTCACCACTCGGTGGAGACAGGTGTACTTGGAACAGGTCAGTGTGTCCTTCTGTCTCTAAGGTGCTTGAACTTGGTAACAAAGCTCTCTTAAGGAATAAACATTTATCAAAAGTATTTATTTCTAATTCTTTGCCCATTTCATAAGTCATATTTGGATTATTACAGGGTTTTTTTTTTCTCAAAAATACGTTCTGTTCTATACTGCTTAGAAATGTTTTGAAGTATTTTGAGAAGTTGTTAAATTTGCAGAGCTTTGTGTATTTTGTCTGAGCATATTTTATCATGTTGTCATTTTGCGGCAGCAGGCTGGGCTGCCATGAGAGCCCAGTCCCTGCAGCTGCTGGCACCCACCACCGCTCAGCCTGCAACAGACCGCGCCCTGGCACCAACTGATGAAATATCTGGGGCTTCTCTTATGTATAGCTTGGATTTTCAAGTTTGACTTGTTTTCTTCACGACTTTCTGGACATGAAGACTACACCTCTGTTATGGTCCAACTTTAAAAAATTGAAAAAAAAAAACATTTTATTTAAAATGTCAATATTTTACTTTGTAGTCTTTTTCTTTCTTTCCTTTGTCTTTCAGCAATAACTCTACATTTATGATATGAAACTGTTCCTCCACTCTGCATTCACTTACATACCTGAGTTCTCTTTGGACTCAGACTCAGAGTCGGAGGTTTCGGAGGACTCAGACGCTTTCTCTGGAAGATTTGGCAATTGGGCAATGTCAATGGGTGTGTCTTTATACTCAGGATTACTGTGAGGAAAAACAGAAAAACTGTTACTGGCAATTCATAATTCAAAATTAGAGGGGTATTGCTGCAGCTATGGTCCATCATTTCCCAAAGTGAGTCATGTCTGACCTGAGGACGTAGTTGACCCAAATGATGTTCTTCTCGCTGGAATTCTTGGCATTAATAGCAATGGTGGCACTGGACTGGATCCAGATGTAACCACCGTTCTTCTGGATCCACCGATAATATTTTGTCACACACTGACCTTTATTCATCACTAGAGAGAGACAGAAACACACAGGAAAATGATTATCATGTTTTTCCATGATAACTCAACCTACTACATTGTTGCAGGATAGAATCTTGGAATGAGGCAGTTTTTGGTTGTATCGAAATTAGTTTATTTTACAGATATGCAATCAGTTTTGTTTTAAACTTTTTCTTTAATTATCGTGATACCATCATAACTTTATCTAAGTTTATCATCAGGTAAAAAACACACAATGACACATTCCTAGATACCAGTGTGATGGTTATGTTGAGATATTTTATTCCCTCCTCATCTGCTGTGCTCTGATTAGTTGATTCTGACTGAGTTGTATATTTCTGCAGATGACAGTAGGACTACAAGGAGGAAGCAGAGGAGCTTTTTTCAGATTATCTGTCACAACATAGCAACAGTTTTAATAAATATGTAAAAAACTGTTTTATATAAATGCTAGATACTGCAGATTTAAGCTAAGTATTTACACAAGACAGATATAAAGAAGAAAAACTTTGAGGTCAGGAATGCCAGATGGAGAGTTGTAGTGACAAGAAGATGACATCCTGAACATATGATTCAGTAAGAACTAGCACTTACTGCTAGCCTGTCTATGTTGAGTCCTCTTACACACCTATTAGAGGCACCAACTGCACCCCCACACCCCCAGATAAGAACAAAGAAAAACAGAGACAAAGGTGATTATATTCAGTCATGATACATTAACCTCTGTACTTTTTTCTTATCCTTTCAGAAACAAAAACACCTTATTTACAGCTAAGGTTTGTGTGTTTTTTAGTGTCATTAAGAGACTTAAACCTCTTCAGTTTGTTAAGGTAAGTTGATCTGGATCACATAATGGTCAGTTCTTTAATTTTCCAAACACACAACATGAGCTTTTCACCGAATAAGTGAATAAAAGTAATACTCCTGCTCTCCACCAGACATCGCTGTGCCACTGCAGCAACCACATGTCTCCTTTCAAAGGTGGCCCCCAACCCCCAACCCACACCCAACACCCAAACCTCGCTTCACCCTGAAACAGCACGCGGGTAATAAATTTGGCTAAATTAACCACTAAATGGTTATCTCAAGCAATATGTATTGGCATTAATCAGGAGCCGCTCAAACAGAAACAGTCAGAGACGAGAAGCGAAGGCCTCTGAATTCATATCCCGCTCCTCAATTTAATTACGGACACAAATAGGCTTTCCATGACAGAGAAGAAAGAGAGAGAAAGTGAGGGCTGATTTATATAAAAAGAAGGCCAGTAATTAAAAACTATTAGAATCTAATAGCATTGTTTAAGACGACATCCCCAGGGCTTTAGTAATTGACTTTGGTCGGACGGCTGCTGCTTATTCCTTCTCTATTTGCCTATTCATAGGAGGGGAGAGGCAGAGAGACAGAGGGAAAATAACTTGTTTGTTAAGGTAGAGATGGTGAGATCATGTCACCTTGAATGTGACCTTGTTTTGTTTGTACAACAGAGTAAATAACAGCACAGTGAATACACACACACGCACACCATCAGACACATGTGCACAAGCATGGCAGTGGTGGCTGTTCAGATGTCGGCAGGTCCTCAGAGAGATGCTGGCTGTATTAGCATGCCCAATGGAAGAGGACACACGCCCACACACACCATGAGAGATGAAAGGTGCTACTGTTGGAGCAGACTGTTTCTGTGGGTGAAATCTAAACACAAGTGCAGGTCCAAAATAACGCTGACTCCTCAGAAAACAGCTCGACTAAACACAATCAATGAGAATGACTTTGTTCTGAAGCCATCCTTCAATCTCCAGTAGCTTGGATAAAATGAAACATCTCAACTAAACATCTGGTCCTCACCTAGTTTAAATGAGAATCCACACCAACAGACACGTTACTGTTTCACCAAATGAACAAACACTTTAACAATCCAAATAATTCAAAGGAAAGTAGAATCATTACCTTATCATTCTCTGCACTGTGGATCAAAATTGTTCCACTTCTCTCAAAAGTTGTTGTGTCTTATCAAAGTTCACAAACAGCGTTTCCACAGACTTCTAGAGTCACCATCCTCCCCACACACTTCCTCTGTGTCAAGTATTGAGTATTTTTGGATGACATTTCTGACACTGGTTGAACCATTAATTTAATTGTTAAACATAGATAAATGAGTACAAGTGATGTGGAGGAAGCTGAGCAGACCAAAGGTTGTTGACTCGTGTTACCTGTAGGTTTGTGCTGTGCATGTCTGCTGCAGCTAACTTTAAACAGGCTTTTCATTCAGGAGTGGAGTCTTGGACATCGAGTGTTCATGGAAGCCACTGTATGGAAGTGAATTACCAACAGCATATTTGGAAAAATGTTTCACTCATTTTATGTTTTGTACTAAGAGTCAATTGCATTTATTGGTTACATTGATTTGATTGATCATTTACTCATTTGTCACCCTTTGATCTTATATTTCTAGACATAGTTTTGGAAAAATGTGACATGGAGAAGTTGAAGTAAAACTTACACATAGCAGCAATTATTGTATGTAGAAAGACTAAGTTCATAAGTTTGTTTCCTATTTGAGACGAGATGAGGAACCATCATTTCTAGGTGTTTTCAGGGTTGAAAAACATCCACCCGTGAAGGCAGATCGTTACAGATCTAGAGAGCCGCTCTTGTGATTTCTGTCTTGGTTGTTCTTTTCAACAAAAACAAAAAAGTTAGTAACATGCATGTATGTTAATTAATGTGAATATCCAAATCTCTTCTTTCCAGGTTTTCTAAATATGTCTGCGATTGCTCCTTGAGTCTTAGACAACTCTTGATTATTTTGACTCCTTTGTCGGAAATAGTACGATGAACAGTGTCTGGTTTGCTTTGTCTCCAACGACACCCTCTGGACTTTTCAGAAGTTTACAAATGCAGCTGTAACCATTGTCACACAAATCTGTTTTAAATTGTTAAACTCTTTTATAAAGGTCTTACTGATTTCACCAATACTTTGCTGTTGAGAAAGCTTGCAGTTTTAACCCAGCAGCAGATGATCAGCAGGAATTGTTTCTAATTGATGACATCTTTCATTTGGTTTCTCGGTGCCTTTTTGAAAATCTTCAAGCTCAGTAATCTGCTCCTCCGCATCAGGAGGAGTCAGTTTGTGGAGTCAGGGTCTGAGATCAGGATACCTCCTTTACGTCTCTTCACTACACACAGTATGACAAGGAAAACTGTTTTATGTTAATATTTTCTGTTCACATTGCAACAATGTAAATTTTCCTAACATTTCTAGAAAGTTCAGATCAGTCAGCTGCAGTTCAACATCAGTGACAGTAGCTGAAGAACATTGAGGGAAAAAAAAGTGAAACAAATGTAGGGAAATGTAGTCTGAGATGACCGAAAAAAACCTCCCGTCTGTATGATAAACCTTACTCTTTGTCTCCTTCAATTTTAAATGGCTCCCTCACTGATTGTTCACTAATGAAGGACAGAGGGAGAGAAGGAGAATAGATGGAGATGGGAAGAAAGGGAGTGCTGGAGGCTAGCCTGAGGCTGCAGGAGAGAGACCGCTCGATTAAAGGAGTTCTATTCCCTTTTAAAGTTGAGTCTCTTCACTTCACTTTTTCTCATCTTTTTCACCATTAATTTTTTTCCTTCTTTCATCACCTGTCACACTTCTCACTCATTGATCATTGGTATTTATCACATATTTTAACCAAGTTATCTGTCCTAATCGTAATGATGTAAAAAAAAAAAAAAAAAAATCTCTTAACTGATAAGATTGATCAAGCTTGTTCTCATGTTTCTCCTTACAGCACTTCAGTTCTGAACTGTGGTCTGTCATTTTACCAAATTAGTTAGTAATGGACTCAGACTGGAACCTGCTGCTGCCCCACTGGAGGCACATGTTCATTTCTGCTTCACGCTGCACAACATTCATGTTTTTGTTTTTTGGGGGTTTTTATAGACAAAATATTTGAGATACTGATATATACCCATATCCTCATTTTTGATGTGATAATCTGCACAGAAAGCTTCAAAGAAGTGCAGTTTGAGATAATATTGGTATAAAAAAAAGGTCTTAAAGACGAGGCGTCCTGCAGCTTGTAGATGTCTCCTCTCTAACTCACCTCAGTCAAATAATCAGGTAATCAGCAGGACTCTGACCGCTGAGGAGGTGATTCAGGTGTGTTGGAACAGGGACAGGACAGCAGCCCCTGAGGACTGGAGTTAAAGAGAGCTGGTGTAAGATGTGGCTTCTGAAATATTTTTGGATTTTAGGGGCTGAAGGGCTTCAAAGTTTATTACGAAAACAAATTAACTGCATTGTGTGTTCTATCACTGATTGGTAAACGTCAGGTCTTGTTAGAGTTCTCTATCAGAACCAGCCCACTTTGTCAGGACTCTCTGTTCAGAAACAACTCCTTAATGAACTCTGATAATGTTTTGAATTTTACCCAATGACCAACGTTTGGCCATGACGTTTGCAATGCGCCACTCTCACACTATGAAGCTTACTGCACACTGCCTGCTCTATAAACAGCCGTCCTCCTCTGCAAAGAGAGAGGCTCTGAACCAAACAAAATGTTTTCCCGCTGCAGACTGAGCCGCTCTGCGCCCGGCTCTGACTACAGTCCCAGCTCTGAGACAAATCACAGGCTGCTTCTTCCTGGAGGTCTGTCTTCATCAAACAGGTGACAAGTTCTGTATTGAAGCAGAGGACAGCTATGTATTCTTTCAACAATCTTTCGTTGTGCAATCATTAAATAAATATTAACTTATCTAATCTCTACCTGCGTTTACTTTTCTGTATTTGTTTGTAATACACATGTTATACTTTTGCTGGGAGGCTTCTTTGCAAAGTGAGATCATTCTATCTGTATTTCTTTGCAGAACAACCAATGTTTTTAATTTGGAAAGACGTAAAAATGCAGCAATACCAGAGACTTCATTCTGAGACGGAAACCTCAAACTGCAGAAAAGTGAGAGGAAAGTCAGCATGTGATGCTGCTGACTCTGTCCCTTCATCCAGCCTCATC